CGCCGCCGGCCCCGTTCCAACCGAACCGGTTGGAACGGGGCGAGAAATCCACCCCTGGCGGGGGAGGTAGGCAGGCAGAGGAGCAGAAGCCCATAAGTCATCAAAGGGCTAGAACAGACCCAGGAAGTCACAGATTGCCTCTATCCAGTTGCCCCAACTCGACTACTAATTATGGAATTGCAAAGTCATAAATAGGGAATTTAGAAACTCCCCTATATAGGACCGTGATGGAGAACCTATGGCACACAGAGCCTTCTATGTGGGCACACGAGCTGTCGCCCCAGCTCAGCTCCACCGTGCATGCGCATGCGCCTCTCGCCAGGCAACTAGTTTTGGGGTCTTTGCTCTGCATGCACTGGGCACTTATGGGAGGTGTGTACATGCGCAGGGGGTGGGGTGAGCAAAGGGAGTCACTTGCACATGCACAGGAGTGGGGTGCACACAGGGGGCCTTGTATCCATGTGCAGGTGTTTCATGTGCATGCACAGGGTCTCATGCACATGCACAGGGGGCAGGGCACATGCCGTGGTCACACATACATGTGCAGGGCAGGCCGCATGGGGGCGCACGCATGCATTGAATTGCTCGCTTTCAGCACACAGCAACAAAAAGGTTAGCCATCACTGGTATAAGGCATTTGATGAAAGGTTTAGCTATGGCAAGAGATTCCCAGGTCTGTCTTAATCTTAATTTATTTTCATCTCAGGTAACGATTCATTTAAATATAAGACTGAAAATAATACACCGATTGATGAAGTTGTGAGAAGTAATCCATAGGAACTGAACACTCTTTGTCTCAGATTTTTTTAAAAAAAGAAGATATTTATTGCACAAAACATTGGTGACAGTTCTATCACAAAAGCTGCTGTTTGGCTGTATTTTGCTTCTGGATAAAATGGATAAAAAATGTTTCAGCTGAGAGTAAGAGCATATATTTGAATGTGGCTTTATGAACATCACACTAAATTTGGTCTGCGTAGCTTAAGTCTCCCCTTGTTTCATAAGTAATAAAATAAATAAGCAAATATGAGCGCGCCCTAGAATGTCAGGTTACTAAGTCATCATCTACATCAGATGAATCTTTTTAGTTGATACTTCTGAATTTCATGCACCACTTGTTGGATTTTTTTTAAAAGCACATATACATTGCGATTCTTAGTTTAGTTTATTTATTCAAGTTGCAAGCCACCCAGAGTGGCAATGTGAGGCTGAGTAAGATTATAATGTTAATAAATGGAAGTTATTATATACAGGGCTGTACTTTTTTTTTATTCCTCCCTCCCTCTCTCCCTCTTTCTACTAGCATTGATTGGCAGGGTGTTCACTCAAACCGCAGCTACTCCCGTTTTGCCCCAAAGAGTTCAACACAAACCAGATCTTACCTTTTTGATCTGATCTTCTTTCAGCTTTGTGAAATAAAAGGCCACAAGGTGCACCGCAAGCATGTTTGCGAGTAGTTCGGTGTTGACACCACTGTTCCTGAGGCCAAAGCTGGAATCGATATGCCGAGAAGCCAGCAGGATCCTACCACCCAGCCATTCCTCCGATGAGTCTCCGGAGCAGCAGGGCTGAAGTAAAGCCAATCCTTCTGCATGGTTCAATGATTAAGCTTCCAGCGCCTTTCACTGATTCCCTCCCACCTCTGGGTACCGTATAATGCTGAGCAGATGGCAAGCTGCCAAGAGGCAAGCGCGGGGAGGGTGGGGGGAAGAATGATTAGTTACTGGCCCAACTTGGCAATGTTTTCCTTTCGGAACAATCCCAGTTGCTATGAGATATCCCTCGCTTCACCCAAACCCAGCACGAATTTCCTTAGGGTGGCACATGTCCAGCTGTTGGGTTTTTCATCTGACTGCAATGAAAACAAGTCACCTCAATGGGTATTATTGAATCTGAAACATTGAGAGGAGAGGAGGGAAGATATCTTGAGAATGTATATTCCTCTTCTTTTGCCTTCCCTCTAGCACTGTAAAATTGGGTAGATTGGAGATATCTTTGTTCCTTTGCATTGTTTTGTTGGGTGTTACCCCCCCCCCCTCTGGTGGATCTTAATGATTAGCCACCATCTCTGCTGAGGACATTCATTTCCCAAGAAGTTTGAGAAGTGAAATAACACAAAGATTAACCCTGTGAATGCAGGCTTTGAGGATCTGTTGAACTCAAGGAGACGTAAGAACTGGTTAAGGGTGCCCGTCAGGTTTCTCCTGTTATGTTGGACTACAATATCCCTCATCCCAAGCCGGCATGGGGACTAGCGCAAGGTTTTTACGTCTGGGATTAGCCGCAAAACAAAGCCAAAACCAAACCCACATTAGTCTTTGAAATCAGACATGGCCATCATCTAAGCAAGCATTATTAAATCTGTGATCATGTGTCCAACAAGAAGAGGGTTTTTTGGGTGTCTGTTTGCAGGAGGGGTTTAAAAAGTCAAGATGACTGCACAATTGAAACCCCTATCCCATTTTAGTACCTGTCCCCTGGGCAACACATGTATGAAAGATGCAAGGCTTTGATCGCACAAATGTGGTTGCCACCTTGATTTCTCCCCTCCCCCCAACTATTCAAGACGACCCTGTGTTTCTGTGTATTCACATATGTATTTCCCCCTCAAAATAATCCCCCTGGATAAAGAAAACTACAGTTAGTTAAGGACATACCGTATTTTTCGGACTACACACTCCCCCCCCCCAAAAAAAATGCGGGTGAAAATGTCTGTGCATCTTATAGACTGAATATGGCCCTATTTTTGACCTCCCGAACACCCCCTCTGCATGTCCCGTTTTAGCCCAAAACAGCCCATTTTTGGCAAAAATGGGATGTGCAGAGGATTTGGGAGGTCTGCAGAGTGCTTCTGGGGGGGCTGGGGAGGGCAAAAATGGGATGCATGGGGGGATTCAGGAGACCAAAAACAAACCCGTTTTCACGAAAACAGGATGCGCAGAGGGTTTGGGAGGCCTGCAGAGTACTCCTGGGGGGCTGGGGCGGGCAAAAACCGGACATATGGAGGCCCAAACCTATTGTTTTCCTCTTTGAAATCTAGGTGTCTTATACTCCGGTGCGTCTTATAGTCCGAAAAATGCGGTAGATGTTGCTTTCCATTGTTTTACATCAGTTTTTCAACGCTGACAACTTTTAAGATCTGTGGATTTCAACTCCCAGAGTTCCACGGCCAACATGGGGAAGTCCAAACATCTTAAAAGTTGCCAAGGTTGACACTGTTCTAGACATTGGCAAGTCAAGGCAAACAATGCTTCCCAATTAAGCATTCCAGTGACTTAGGAGAAAGTCCTGCTCCAGGAGACTCCAGACTTCTCGTGATAGTTGGGTCCATGTACAAAAGACGTGCAAAGTAATCTCAACATTCCCTCAGAGTGACATTTGGCTCAGCCCAAGAAATAATTTGAGTTTGTTCTCTGCTTTCTTTCTTCATGCGAGGGCCCCTGCCACACAACTGCCTGCAGACAAAGAGATTCATTGTCCACCAGCGACCTCATATTCCCATCACTGGGCAACAGTACTATGCCACCATGCCAATCAAACATGCTTCTCTTTCTTCTTATGGCCTCTGGAAGAAGGCAGTAGGGTGCCCAGATTCCTAAATATGCCATCCTTGTCGGGTGAGCAGAGTCAAGAGACGCAAATGGATATACAAGACGACACAAGGGCAGCACTCTCTAAAAACATACTACTGTTATCAGAATTGCAGAAATTAAGCCCGAAGCAGTGTTTCTCAAACTTGGCAACTTTGCCAAACAGAGGAACTATTTGCAAGCCTCCCACTATTATAAATACCATAGCAGATTCTTTCAGCAGGGAGTTAATTTTAGTAGTTAATTTTGTTTTTTCGCTAACAGAGATTAGAATAAATTTATATCCTTCTAGTTGATAACCCGGCATTGCCTGGGTATTTCTTTATCCTAATCCATACATTTGTCCTCAAAAATAATCCCAGACCAAACTTAATTCCTAATATTGGATTTTCCTCTTTACCAGAGGGAGCCCCCTGGTGGAGTACTGTGAAGCTGTTACCATGGCAATT